ATAACCTCCGTCTTGTCTATGTTCACCTGGTCTCTTTATCTGATATCAATCAATTCATGATCAAACCTGGAGTCAATCGAATGCCTACAAACTAACGCTTCAAAATTTAAATTTGTCATTCTAAAGAAACAGTCATTGCTATCTTGGTTGGAGTTCTCCAGGGAATGAAGACATTTTCTGTCGAAACAGTTGGATCTTTTTTTTTCGTATTGATTATATAAATAAAGATAGGTGTCAGTTCACTGCAGGTATGCGTAACTTATTTGTATTATTATCCGTTAATATAAATATAAATTATGATCCCCTTTATCAGTATGTATAATCTAAAAAGACGCCTCATGCAATATTTCGGGGTTAAAATGATATCCTAACTGTGAATAAATAACCGTCAACTGGCCTAGCCGTTTCTGTCAACTGGCACACAATTTTTGACAGGTGACTTCGTTATAATTATTGTTATTATTCGCTCCTGACACATACTCACATAATCCGAATTAGCATGATTACGTAACCAACACTCCTACTGCGGCTGCTACTATACTACTACTACTACTACAGATGAGGATGACGTTATGATTTCAGAGGTGATAAGCAGACGAAAGAGGAGGAGGTGGAAGAGGATAGAGAGACAGTCTTCAGTGTCCAGTGAACTGTAATGATTGCGTCATCACCACTGATGATATTCATGCACAAAGCCTCAATCATCACCATCGTCATCAGATTGAAAAGGAACAAAACTAAGGGGAAAAAAAGTTAAATAATGTGAAATTAAAATAAATAAGTGTAAATTCATAAGAAAATTAGGGATTATTTTTATTATTCCAGATATAAGAAAGCAAAAGAAAATTAGATACCAGATAATAGAATTAACTGAACTCTTTAGTCTCTCTGTCAGTCAGTTAGTTGATCAGTTCAATCAAGCGGATTTAATCTCTCTGTCTTTCTCTCTCGCTTCCAAGCCTCAAAGATAACCTAGATATAATCTTGCGTGTGTATGTACATGTTTGTCAATGTGTCTGTGTGTGTGCGTGTGCATGTAAACATCTCAGGGAACAGTCAATAACTGCAATAATAATAATAATAGAAGTGACCACTATCCATGCATTTCCATTGCTTATAATCTCGTATTCTTTCGAAAACTTCAAATAAAACATGTAATGAATTCATGAAAAATAAAAAAAATGAAAAGAAAAGAAGCCTACTGTCTGTTGTCGTCATTTTGTAACAGTACCAAGTTGCTTACTTCCTGATCCTTCCATTCAATGAAAGTCCATTGTGTTGATAGAAGTTAACAAGACTTTATTGTATTGAGATTGATTGATTTAATGAACAAACAGGTAAGCATTCATTTTGTAGCAAGGGGCATACCTTTTTTTCTTCTTACTTCTATTGCCTTTTATAAGTTTTATTGAATCGCTTACTTGTTAAAATGTCTTTAATTCTCATGATTTGCAGTATACAAACATTGTATTCACTTTAATCGTTTTGAAATAATCATACAGAAGATTTGTAGCTCAGATGGGTGATTTGCAATTCATAGTGTTCTCTGAAGAGCTGGTTGGTTTAGTTGGGGAGCTTTCGTCCCCTCTCCCCTTCTGGACAACATCCCATTTCAGCGCAATATTTAGCATAAACTGAACTGATTTAAATTTTTTCCATGAGTGATAGAATTGGGTGCGTCTCCCGGTAACCATCCTTACATATGTATTGACCATTTTTATTATTGACTTGGATTTTAAACTTTCTGGTCACACATGATTCACTTTTTATTAGTTGGTATATTTGGTCTATATTAATTAACGTGTTTGTTAATTGCATATTCATTTGAGCGCCAACCAGGCTTCTAGGAATTCCCTGACTGTACTTTTGGTGGTGTTTCCTCTGTCTAAGATTTCGACATTATCCCAGTTATCAAACTGATGTCCATAATTATCTATGTGCATTGATATGAAGTAGGAATACGTATCATGTCTTTTCACGGCTGATTTGTGTTCCTGGATTCTGATTCGAGGGGGACGCCCACTTTGACCACCGATGTAATGTCTGTTACAGGCCATATATGCAATTTGTTTTGTAAATGGTATTAATTTTATCTCCTTTTTCTGTTGGATGTGTCTTTCGGTTTGTACAATATCGAATGAAGTGATTGTGTTGGCTGGCTGGTCTGTGCGCTATGTCTATTTCGAGCGGTTTCAATATTCTAGCTGTTATTTCAGAGATATTTCTGATGTATGATAGGATGAATTTTCTTTGTGTTCTTTGATGATGGTTCCTTGTTGGTGTAGTGATTCGATTTGAAACACATTTTGATGAAATTTTGTGGATAACCATTGTTTTTGAAGACCGTTTGTAGGTGGCGGTTACTTCTGAAGCATCCCGAGCTAGGTTGACGAAACATCAGTCCAGTACTCCCTGTAGATTTTCTACTGGTTGTCTAATCGATGTTAGCTCATAATGAAATCCTATAACCCATGAAGTCCTTGCAAACCGATACCTGAATATCAAATATTTATTATTATTAGTTTTATAATTTAGAAGCTCTTCACCTGGAATTTTGCAGTTATTAAATTGTTGTACATTTAGGTAACATCAATCCTTGCCTGTGTAATTCAATATCGAACCAAAATCAAAATTCTTGAATTATCTGAGATACAATTCGTTTGACTTTTACCCTTTTTTATACGACAGTATTTGAATGCATAAAGATGGTTTAAACTTCCTAATTGTCAGCCAGGGCTTCCACAAACTTTTGATGCGCCCCAAACACGTTTTATAGATACGTTTAAAAGACGTGTAAACCTCAATTTTATTTCCTGTCTCTATAATATGCTTCACAATATAGTGGAGCTAAGTTGTTTATTCTCACCATTAATGGGTTCCGGATGTTCCATTTGCTTGTGAAGCCATTTACGAATGTGCTCTGAAGCTATTACTTGCAGAGATCGATGAGTCCTCCAGCTGGATATATGGATTTCAAACTCTCAATTATTCTAATCTCAGCTGTAGAATATGTTTTTTTTTTTAACCGCAGCGTCCAATCTTTGTCTAGTTATCAAGCTGCTAGGATGCCCCATGTACGTTAGCTTGATGTACATATCTTCCTTAGGGGCGAGGTGGAGAGAGTGGATCTTGGTGTTATGACAACTATAATCATCATTCAAGATTATTTACAAGGTAAAGCCAAATGGTATAAGGGGTGTCAAGTTTCGGCATTTGTGTATCACTGAGGAGTTGGCAATTCGTCAATACAATCCCGTACTCTCTTTACAAATTCAGTTTATTGAGTCTCTTATCCTACCATGATCTTAACCTCTTCAATTATCGTTCCCTGTACATTTTTTTTATTTTGTTTATTATTAATGATTACTTTGCTTTCACTTTAATAATGAATTCTCTATTATCAATCCCACATGTTCCTCTTGTACATTTTCTCACCCTCTTCACATTTCTCGATTAGGTACTCAAGTATCTTTTTTCTCATTCAATAACAATTTTAACCTTATCAAATTTCTATCGCTTTCTTCCTTTGTGCCGTTGAGTATTACGTAATTAAAAGATTTATTTTTCACGTATTGTTTTGTAGGGAATTTGTTTGATTGCATGGAGGATTTCATCATGAGCTGACATCAGTTGGAGAACCACTGGAAAATCTGGGAGTATTGGACATCCAGCCGTTTCGTCCTAGCTTGGAACTAACCCTTCAGCAGTAGGCATCCACTTGGGTTCGAACCCAGGACCTTCTGGTTACAAGGCTAGCGAGCACGTAGACCGTTGAGCCCACTAGCGACTGGCCCTATTCAAGTAGGTATTTAACCTGGGGTTCTAGTGGGAAGCCGTGACCAGTAGGGTACAGCAGGTTGAAGATGAGGTAGTAACTCAACGAAGAAGACTTTATGAAATGGTCGCTCTCTGTCGTGAATTGTCAGAAGTTAGAATTCAAGGACCAGTGGTTCTGGTCCCAGTGGCTCGCTAGCCTTGTAACCAGAAGGTCGTTGGTTCGAATCGAAGCGGGTACGTAGCTATGAAGAGTTCCAGACTAGGACGAAACACCTGTCCAGTACTCCCTGGTGGTTTTCAACAAATCAAATCCTTACAAGTCAACTGCTGAAAAATATAAATACGACTGTACAGCCTCGGAAGATGATTCCATCGACAAAGAAAATTTTCTTCGCTGAATTGCTTTTTATTTTCCTCATGACGATAGTATTTATTGTTTTTTTTTTAAAAATGGAATGTATTCCAGTGAATTTAATGGGGTAAAATTCCCTATCTGTAAGTGTTAATATGGTAGCAAGTAATTCTTACCTGTTCGTTTACATAACAGGATATTTATATATGTGATTTGCCCCCCTTCCTATTCATTTATAAATCGATAACGGAACTATATAGTCTTTTCATTATTATTATTATTTTGAGGGAATGTGTTCCTATAACAACATTTTCTAATCACATGACCTCTCTCACTCAGCAGGCGTTGCTTCTACTACAGTAGTAGTCGTCTAACATGTTCTATTCAAACACACAAGGCATAGTTACAAATATGTGGAGAATGTACGTGTGTATTTGATGTATATATATGTATGTATGTATGTAATTCAGACTCAAAACTATTAAGGGGTGAGGAAATTCTGTTAACGCAGTTTATTCATTCATGTTAGGTGTGAGATTGACCAATAAAATAAGAAAGAAAAGCTGTCTCAGATATTAACACCAACCACCTTTTATAATTCCATTTACCAATAGAATTAGAAATTTTCACTTGGTGTGTCTACTGTTATTATTAGTTAGTGTTATAAGGGTGAGAAGTAGTAGTTGTATTGGGTGAGACGAAAAATTAGATGACGGTTGTATTAAATCCCCCACCTACAGGTGTACACACACAGATGATGATGATGATGAATAAAATTATTTAAAAAATAGCTGATCTACACTCACGCACGCACGCAGACACGTGTGCACAATACACCAGAGCACAACCGTGCATTAAATCATTGGCATATTTTCAGGAGAGGAGGGAATAAATAAATGTCATTGAAATGTCAGCAATATGGAACAAATTAGTCTTCTGCCCCACTCCTTCTCGCTGTCTCTCTCTCTTACTGGCTCTCTCGCCAGCTCTCTCTCCATCTATCTATCTAGTCAGGGCTTTAAACACCTGCATACCTAATTGGATACTTATATGTATATAATATAATATCTTACGCCTTTTGTAATAAAAGTCACGCCAATAAAGGTGCCGCCGACTTCGCATAAGTTATCGAATGTTAGCTATTTTCTACCCCAAAAAAGAGATTATTTGGCTTTATCCTCATACCACCACCTTGGACAATTATTTTCAAAAGCATATACATATATAAATACACAGTAAACTTGCAATTTCCCATAAATTCTTGATTCACACATCTTTTCAAATTTCCCGCTATCAAATTTTCTATGTTCAATGCAAAATGACTTTCAATTCTTCTACTGAACAACTGATAAATTTGTCCCATAATAATCATAACAGTAATAATAATAATAATAATAATAATAATCTTAATTCATCACATAACGAGAATCGTAATTTCCGTGTGAATTCAATGCTTAGCGGATTACCAAACCTGATGGGTTTACAAGCAAATACTTCTTCAAGTTTGGATTCTCAGTCCAGTCTGTCAATATCTGCAGCAATGAATGCCGCAGCCGCCGCAGCAGCAGCAGCAGCTTTATACGGACAACAACGAAATCAACAGTCTATGAAATTCCCCCTACTACCAACATGGTTATCATCAAATCCTTTATGGGATAGAAAACATTGTCTAGACTTATCGTCTAATAATTTTGGATTATTCCCCAACGGAGCAACCGATAATCTCAGCGAAGTGATGATGAATAAATGTAACGATGATAGTTTGTCTGATTTATCATTACTCGGGGACAATTATAAATTAGAGTCTAGCGTTCGTCCAGTTTATAAGAGTCCTACTCGTACAAATGTTACCAATGGGCCAATAGTAGTTACATCACCTGTTCATCAAGTTGAGTTAAATAACTCAACTCAGTCATCATTGTCAAATCGCTTTTCAACTTCAGATTTAAATAAACAACAATCTGATGAAATTGGTAGAGATGGTCAATTGATAAAGACACGGTTAGATCATTCGTTACAGAATAATACTTCATCAGTTAATAATAATAATAGTTCGAATACGTCGACTTTTACTCCCCCATCGACTCCACCACCGCCTCTATCTGGTACTTCTTCCACTATATCTCCGATTATGTGTGATGATGTTCAGGGCATGAAAATGAATTATTCTCAGTCAGCTATGGCTATGGCAGCAATGGCTGCAGCTGCGATAGCTACTAATAACTTCAAAATGTCATCAACAAGTACTTCTTCAATGAATCAAACAGTTAATGAAATGAAATTAATGAATAATACTATTACAAATAGCATAATTAATAATAGTGGTAATAGTAATAATAACAATAATAATAATAACACCCCTGATATTGATTCAATTATGAATGCTGTAGCCGCAGCGGCTTCAGTTATGGGATCCCATTTATTACTAAATAATAGTAATAATAATAATATTGTTTCTTCTACAAATACTAATCCTATCAACACTGGTATGAATAATCGTTCAATCAATGATTGGAAAATGCATTCTTCAATAAAAGACCAAGAGATCAATAAAGTTAGAAATAATACATCATCAACTTCATCATTATTGCCAGATTTTAAATCGTCTACATCTTCGTTGTTAATGCACTCGAATTTTGATGCATCACCATTTGGAGGAATGGATTCATCAAATTTATCATCATCACCAGAATCATGTGGAGTTCGACCTGAAGTTGAACTGGTCGATAAATCATTATGGGATAAATTTCATTGTCATGGAACAGAAATGGTGATTACTAAAAGTGGAAGGTAAGTAGTTACAATAATTATTTTGTCTTTATTGTTCCTGAGTCAATGAGTATTTTCCCAATAACTTTTTGTCAATGGTGAATGAATTTTCAAGTATTGGTTTTGTGGGGATTTTGTTTGAAGGTCAACTATTTCGCCCTAGCTTGGGACTCTTCAGCAGCACACACTCCACCACCATGATTTGAACCCAGGAGCTTCTAATTACAAGGCTAGCGAGCTCGTAGACCGTTGAGCCACTGGGAACCGATCCAATGGCCAGTCTGTGAATTCTAACTTCTGTCAATTCACGGCATAGCGCGACCATTTCGCGCAATGTTTTCTTCGATGAGTGAGTTACTGCCTCATCTTCAACCTGCTCTACCCTACTGGTCACGGCTTCCCACTAGAACCAGCCCAGGTTAACTGCCTACCTGAATAGGGCCAGTCACAGCCAGTGAGCATCAGATGAATTTTCAAGTATTGGTTTTTGTAGGGATTTTGTGTTTGATAGCATGGAGGACTTCATCATGATCTGACATCAGTGAATGATCTTCATTATTATTCATTATTGATATGAATGTGATTAAGTTTCTAGTCTCATTCTATAACTAAAGTAACGATGAAGTGTATTCATCACTGTTGTGTAAAAGAAGAATACTGCGACTAAACTATTTCCCGTAAACTAGAAGTTAAACAAGATTTGGAGTTTCAACAGTAATGTGTTAAGTCTTTCCGTGTCTTCAAAAGAATGGATCATTGCGCTCTACAGTTATATATACATTATAGTGAAATGAATTAGTGTTATGAACAACATTAATGTTCCTGTTTAAATAACGTCGAATCAATAATATTGATAGATTACAGCTAAATAGCATCAACATAAAAATACACACTGAATGTCAGAAAAATTAGGAAAGATAATATTACAAATTCATGAATTTATAGTCTTTACTGAAGGCCGGCCAGGGTAGTAGTAGGGGCTAGCTGGACTTGCTTCTTTTGAACACAAAGCACTGGTTGTTTGAGGCGAATTGCAATAGCCTGTGCTGTTTGAAGCATGCGGTGCTTCGATGATGATTTTGGCAATTTATTAGACACCCGGTATAATGTAGAGAAGGATTCTTCCACTCTGACTGGCTATATGGCCGGTTTGGACTAGGTTGTCTATTATCGAACTGTTAATGGTTTTCACTACACATTTACTTACCCACAGTGGAAAATGTTCTTGAGTGAGCACGAAAAATCAAGTTCTTAGAGCAACGGTCAATATAACTCGCTCCACTACAAGTGCAGTTGAATTGGTAGATACATCTTGAAGTGGTTCTCTAGTCTAGGTACTTCATGTTTCAATGGAGGAATCACCATCGGTTGTTTAGAGAATAAGACGTGTAGTTCGCCAGCATTAAAAGTTCTTTGAATTGATTTTCTTAATTTCCTCGTAATTATCTCACTTGGTATATCGCCCTTGACTTGCAGTCGTATATAAAGAGGCTTCTTGTTTACAGATAATGAGTAGTCCTTTTCCGCTTTCTTTATCATAAGTTTCTTGATAAATTTGTCGGGCTAGCTATTTTCAATCAAGGTATCAATGCCTAATTCATCTCCAATTACTTCTTCTGACCATATAGCTCTAACTCTGTGGCTCAGGGTCTTTTGTACTTGATGGGAAGGAAGCAGTGAAAATATGTATATTGTCCTGTCTAAGTGCTGTTTCTATGCAAATTTCTTTCGGTGTTGCTGTATTCTTCTTTAGTGGTTTGCACTGGCGTCACGAATAGCATTTCCAACCGGAGCTATGGGGTAGACTTTCGTCAACACGAGATCACTGAGTGATATAACTCGCCTTGTTTTTTAGAGTGGAAGCTAAAAATGGGAAACGAGAGAAAAGGTTGGAATAGTTGCAAGGGTAACATGAAGGAGGGGCGATAAGGAAGAAATGAAAGTGTATGTAGGCGGGGGGGTGGCGGAATTGTAAAGCTACCTAAGAAAGACTACGGTGAATATGTCAGTTTTTATTACCAGCATCATATAACTTTGCAAAGTAAATTTGACGTACTTGCAAAGGTAAAATGATATAAGTTAACAGGAGACTCTAAAAATTGTTAAACAAAGTGTGCTCAGAAGTAAAACTTATATTTCTTATATAGAGAACACGCAGTTGTAGGTTTCTATTATAAACTAAAAGACAAGAAGTCAGGGGTAAAAATCATGTGGTCAAATGAAATTAAGAGTTAGGAGAGAGAGAGACTCAGTGATCAGCGCCAAGAAAGACTGACAGCTCAGTTCTGCCTAAACAAAAATCAGGTTTCAAACGTTTGATGGTTGCAACTGAATCGTATCACCTACTAATACTTATCTTAAAAGACGACTTCAAGTTCCCTCCAGTAATATAAACTCAAAGCCTGGCAATTACAATTTTGAAAACATTTATTATTTTGAGACACAGACATTTCTGTACATAATATTCAAACAATCTAATATGTGACCTTTCTTATGTTCTCCTAAAGATAAAATGGCATACAAGAGTTACTTCCTACCAATACTGAATGAGAGATATTAACATAATATGTGAAGACAGTCTAACTCTGATGAATTATTCAGAGCACGTCTATCCTCAGTTTTTTTTGAAAACGTTAACAGTACAAACAGTGCAGCGACATTAGGTAGAGTATGCATAACCTTCAATCAGTCATTCAAATGTCGGGTTCACGTTTTTGTATCAACTTCAACGTAGGTTCCGTCAGAAACTAAAATCAGCTAGAGATAATTGAACGGCGGTTTCAGCCTAGTTTGGGACTATTCAGCAGTTTGCATCGATGATCGCAATAGGAATTGTACCGGGGAGCTTTGTTCGACTATGCAGATGACTGATGACCTTTGATTTTGAATGATCTCTAACTGATGTTTGTTCGTGACGACTTCAACTTTTTCAAAACTCTCTTCAAATCTTCACAAAGTGTGAGACTGGTATCATAAAGTTTTATTCTTAAGATTACTAACCTTTCAATAAAGTGATTGAAAAAGTTCATGTATATTTAACCAATTAAACTAAAAGAACATAATACTCTGAATTGTTCCCAAATAGGGATTCACCAACGAAGTAATTAGAATGACATTGACTAACAGTGGTGCTCTGTTGTCACGAATTGGGAGAAATTAGAATTCATGGTCTACTTACTGGATTTTATTTCACAGGTGAAATGCTAATGTTTCAACCACCTAGGTGGTTGCAGGAATTAGAGTGGTGGTAATCAAACCTACAAACTCACTCAGACAGGGACAAGCTCTGTAGGCTAAAGGACACTGTCGGTGGACCCAATTAAACAAAATAATGTAATTTACAAAATACCTTGCAATGTCTAGGAGTTAAGCCAACTACATAGGTCAAACTAGTAGAACAGGACTATTGGGATTATCAGAACATAAGAATTTAGCTAAGGTTGGAGTGATTGATCACACTGCATGCATCAATACACAACTATACAATAGAGTAGGATAAAGTTAAAATCCTAAAAAGTAACATAGGTAGGTAGGTGGAGATAGAGAGAGAGAGAGATTGATTACTGAATCCTGCCTAGTTCATCGAGTCTACACCCAACACAACCCCCATGCAATAGAAATGACTCAACGGAAATACCAGAGATACGAAAGATATTATTACCACCAGTCAAATCAGAGGATAATAAGTAATGTTAGAATGTATTTCAATTCACATTATAACATTCTAAAAAGTTATTCATTTATTTTACCATAAAATCATCCTATTTCCCGTCTGATTGTGTTTTATTGATAACACGAATACTATTGCCGAATATACTTCATCTTATACTGATTTTTTTTCAAATGTCTAATCAATTTTACTCATGTATATAAACGAAGCAAGAAACTTGTGTCAATACCTTGATATGATTACGAACAATAAAATCTGTTCGAAACATGGTCATCAGTAAATATTACTGTAAAACAAACACTGTGTGATTTTATCAAAATAAAATCTTATCCATAGTGGAATGTTACTCTACCATGGTGACCAAGTCTTATCTTTATATCAATAGGACTAAACTACTGTAATAGAGAAGATTTATAGCTCAGATGGATGATTTGCAATGAGTTGTGTTCTCTGAGCTGGTTGGTTGGTTCAACTACGGAGCTTTCATCATCCCCTTCTAGACATCATCCAACCCTACAGCTCAAGTTTCAGCATAAAGTGAACTGATTTAATTTCTCCATGAATGATAGAATTGTGTGTGTGTGTGTGCATGTCTTCTGATAACCATCTTCATGACTGGCTGGTAGTCGATTTACCAATTGTACTGATCATTCTTTTATTGACTTGGATTTGAAACATTCATAGTGTCAAATTCAATTCTATCATTCATGGAGAATTTAAATCAGTTCATTTTATGCTAAAACTTGCGCTGTAGAGGGATGTTGTCCAGAAGGAGGACGTCGAAAGATCCGCAATTAAACCAACCAGCTCAGAGAACACAACTAATTGTAAAACTAAACTACTGTATCCAGTGTACCTTTTTTTTCTTCACGTTCCCCAGTGGAACATAAGGCTTCAAGCTAGTGGCTTGAAGTTTCTGTAGCAGTGTTAAATTTTACAGGATGAGGTTGCTATCCTCATGCCCAACTTTTCTTCTTTACCAACTTTATTTCTGGCTTAGCGAGGTAAAGGAGTGCGTCGGTGGCTGGGGATTGAACCCCGGACCATGTGAGGCATGGTCGGCGAGCGTCCTAACCGCTATACCACCGACGCACAAAAGCCGGCAACACCCGGTATTCCCAGCCGGTCATCCATGCAAGTACTAACCGGGCACAACGTTAGAATAAATTAATTTTACACAGGATAACACGTAATTAAAGATGAAGTGGTCAGAAATAATAATGAAATAATTTGGACAATTATAATTTGTATAATTTTTAAATGTTTAAGGAGAGGGGGGCGAAGTAGTCCGGTTGATATATTCATGTAACGATGGCCAAGGTAAGGAAAGTGGCTGTACAAATTTCTTCTG